GGGCCTACTGCAGTTTTCCTTATTGCACATAAAGGTTGCAGATAACTCCAAGTCTTTAATTTTTCACAGTTATAACATACTTTAATGCCATTTTATATAACATGTTTATTTATATAACATACTATAATGTTAATTTTGTAAAACCACCAGTTTGCTACTGTTGAATGGAAGTAGAAGACACATTTCTCCCCAATCGTAGTATGTTAGCTCTCTATAAAAAGTTCCCTAGAAGGTCATATCATTCCATGGTAAATGCATCCTATTCTATTTTTTAAAATTGTCTTTCAGCTATTAAATAAATCATGATGGCTTTCCCATGTAACCATTTAAATGGACCTAGTAAAACTTCCCAAGTAAGAAATGCCAGGTGGATTTTATGTAAAAAATAAAAAAAACAATCTAGGAGAAGCTGGCCCTACTATTAAAGTCATACTTTGAACGAATGATTTCGGTGGTAAATTCCAAATTCATAGACTTAACACCCACATAACCGAAAATCATTCCTCTGTTTCTCCCCCCACAACCGGAACATTCACAACAGAAGTCAGCCCCCAAATGTCCATGCAGTTAGTCATCCAGTAACACCTGGACTATAACTTTTAAAAAGTGCTCTAGACAGCAGATGTCAAGTTCTTCATGCTGTTCATGAGTTATTTTCTATCTGAGTTCCTCCAACATATACAGGCCCAGACCATTTACCACTGGCCAAGAGTCATGAGTTGACCATAACATCGGGCATTTCTTTAAGCCTTTTAGAAAGGTGGCTGTCAGAATGACAAGGTTACCTCTGCTGTGTGCTCTCATGTCAGCTTAAGACCTTTTCAAAAGGTGACACAGTGGGTAGCTGTTCCTTCTCATCTTTTCCAAGGCTCAGGTAGCAGAAAACTGGCTGCTCGTGTGTTCCACATGGGCCACAATTATAGTATACCCTGCTTACGAAAATACAACTAACATCAAAAAACTTTGGTTTTGCTCTTTACAAGTTTTGCTAGCACTGGGTAACAAGATGTGTATATTAATTTATTAAAAAAAAGTCTATGAAAATTGAAACTGGAAAAAATGGTTTACTTCTAGGTCTAGCTTTGAAAGGATTGTCCAAGAGCTCCTTTCTTTGTCTAGTTAGACACTAGCACTGGTTTCTACAGTGGTTCTCTATATGCTGTTTTTATTAGGTTTGGGGGGAAGATCTTTTCAGGTATTAAAGTGGTGAAAGCAGCATTCAGATGGGTTGTTTCTAAATTACAACTCTTGTCCACTAGATTCCTTCAACTTATTGTATCAGAATGTATCAACTGACATTGGCAAGCCAGATTCTCACTTAAAGAACAACAGAAGAGGTCAGAATTCAATGATTCTAATCTAATGTATATGATAGACTTGTTCCGGTGCTAATTAATCTACAGAATCAACATCAAAAGGCAGGTGTGAAACTTGTCAAGTTCCCCACTTCTGAAGTGGAATAAGTCATATACTTGTGAAATCAGCAGGGAGATTTCCCAGCAGCACTCATTCCAGATTACCTTTTATATCAGGTGGTAAAATCAGCTTTCTGATACACCTCATAGAACTCACAATGGGTACAAGATAGGTTTCCAAGTAAATCATTTTCACTTCTGATGAGTTGCTCATCACCCTGCTGCTGATCTTCCCCCTAAGTGCATCAGTGGTGTTTCTACATTTGGAAATCACTTGTTCACATTAAACATCTGACATGATTACATTAATTTCCACCAAAGACAAAGACAGGGAGAAAAGAGATATGATGGGGGGTAGGGGGCGACACAATGGGAAACAGACCTCTATTTTTAAAGGAACTGTTAATTCTTTGTCCTGGACTGAAATATTTGTAGATAGCTGACATACTGTTTTGCATGTTTTCTAAAGAGATTTCATTTGTCAACCAAACCACAGAGGACATTTTCAGGTCTAGAGAACACAGCCTAAAGAGCTCCTTGCTGTTTGCTTGATGAAACATTTGATGTCGCAGTGTGATTTTTGGCTTCAAGGCATCAATGCTTATTTGTCTGATCATAACAGTAAGTGCTTATTTCCTAAGAAGAAATGTGGCCTTATTTAAATTCCAAATTTCCTTCTCTAGGAGAGAAAGTTTAGGTTTCCTGGTAGCTCTCAAAAAGAGTACTAAAAGGAATGGCAGGAGTTTTCATCATCTCTCTGTCAGGGCTATACAAAGTGTGCATCTTCTTAATTACCTGCTACTGACACCACTACCAGCATGTGTCAGCAAAGTGACCACAACCTCTCACTTTATTCTGGTAGTAAACAGGGGATTCAGGTATGGAGACAGGTGAAGAGAAAGAAAGTATGACTGCAGAGGGGACTATTAATTTAATTCCAGATTAAATTAAAAAGACCGCTTCACAGAAAACTTCATTTTTGGTTTTTTGGGGGTTTTTGTTTTGTTTTGTTTTGTTTTTGAGTTGGAGTCTCACTCTGTCACCCAGACTGGAGTACAGTGGCCGCTCCCGGCCACCGCAGCCTCGACCTGCTGGGCTCCGGCAATCCTTCCACCTCAGCCTTCCAAGTAGCCGGAATTACAGGCATGCGCCACCATGCCTGGCTAATTTTTTATTTATTATAGAGATGATGTCTCGCCAAGTTGCCCAGGCGGGTCTCGAACCCGTGGGCTCAGGCAATTCACTCACCTCAGCCTCCCAAAGTGCTGGGATTACAGGCTGAACCACCGAGCCCGGCTGAAAGCTTCATTTTGATTAGTCAATAACTCAGTTAAAACAAAACCCTCTTTTTGCCCACAAATCGAAACCAAGATGACAGGTTTTTCATTCTCCCCATGTGTATCCTCAAGTCACCCTTCTCTTTGAAGGCCCTAAAATTTTCAGACGTAGTCTTTTCCGTTGCACTTTATAATGTGTTCTTGAGTTCTGCAAAGATAGTCATAAAACTCTCTCACAGCTCCATGTCCATATTGTTATCAGTACTCACATGACTAACAATTTTTTAAAAAAACCCTTAAACTGCTAGGACATTCTTTTAGATAAGGTTCCAGTTAGGGTCCACTGCAAGCATTAGACCAAAGGTTATCAATTCTGGCTGCATATTAGGGACTCCTGAGGTTCCAAAACAATGTGTGGATGCCAGGTCCCATCAAAAGGTATTGAATGTGAATCTCTCAGGGAGGGCTCTTACATTGATTAAACAAACAAACAAACAAACAAACAAAAACTAGCCAGGTGATCCTAATGTGCAGCCAGGGTTGAAAAACTCTGCTCTAGAACATCTGACTGTTGAGCTGTCATCCCTCCCCATTCCAGAGCAACTCTGTGTATAAAATGACTTGGTTTACTCTCTCAGAAGAACTTTGTTTAGCTGGATATACCATTACTCAGCAGTTTTAATCTGATTTTATGCCAGACCAGCAGCAGATAGTTGGCCTTGTGCTGAATGGTGTCTGGGCTTTGTGGTACCCTACTTTTCTCCACACAGCATAGGCATAATACTTCTAGATGTGGAACCATTTTGATGAATGGATTCACTCTCCCAGGACCCCTGGTAAGGTCAGAGTTATTCTTTATATGTTGCAAACAAAAATTAGTACTGTAGGTCAAAGTGACTTACTTTGATCCATTGACTATTTATAATTTAAAAAAGGACTTATAACACTAGAACGGAGTTTGAATTTCAAATGCCTGACAGTTCAGGGCTACTGAAGAAGGGGAAAAAGGGAGACCAGCCCGGATTTCCAGCTTCCCAACCCACAAAGAAAGGCCAAGGTAAGATCATTGGGTAAATGCTGCAAAGACATTTCGGGTACTCTCTTTTCCAGGGAGGTCTTCTGGGTGGACCCCTGCCCTATACAAACCACCCTCAACCCACCTTGTTTACATTTGAACTACTCTTTGTCCTAGTCAAAACTGAGGGAAGAAGACAAACCACAGTCAGGATTTCCTCCGTTTCCACTCTGATGTTCCCACAGGAAAACCCTACTGGGAAGTCTGCACTTCTAGTTTTGGTCTTGGCAAATCTCCATTTCCTTCTACTTAAGTAGGTCAGAATAAAATATTTGCAAAGAAGACTACAAGACCCCTTGGGGGAAAAGACAGAATTTATGGACTGACAAGACTAGGGAGGGAAAGTCAGTGGTTATTTTTCTTTCCTAAGAGGGTAATTTTTTATAGTTTGCTGAAAGCTTCCTAGAAAACCAAAATGTCAACAAAGCCTTGAGGTTAACAAAGGCAAGGCACCTACCTGGTTGGCTTCTTTTCAAGAATCATCATCAGGGTGTTTTCTGTAAGTTTTTTACCTCCAAAATTAAGTAAGCAACATAAGAGATAAGCAACGCTTTATAAAGAGCCACCAGCCTACTCTTCCATCTCTGCACAAAACTCAAACAAGCCTCATCTCTTAAGTTTATACGGCATGACTGGTCATTACTTGACATAACTACTAAATAAAATCTCCTGTGCTGGTTCCAGGCTGAGCACATACACACATTTCCGGGTTTCTGTCAAGTCTGGCAGCTGCTGCCTGCAACCTGACCTATCACCAAGAACCTCCTTTCCAGGGGCTCTCTGAGAAAGCTCTTTCTCTGGTGGTGGGGTATAGGTCTTCTTAAGTCCTTTGCTAACCCAGGTAATCCTGAGCCCTCATAGAGCTAGGGACATTGTTTAGCTTTTTTTACACCTACAAAGCCCATGAATGGCTATAAAATCAAAATGGACTTTATTGTAGATAAAAAGGAAAGAGGCAAATAAAAATCATTCAATCATATTATATTGAACTATATGAAATTGCCATTCCTGTCTCTTTTTTTTTTTTTTGTAAATGGTTGAATATCAGCAATTTCATATGGCTTGACCTAACTAAATAAATTTTTTCCTGATTTGCACACATTATCAATTCAAACACATAAAGTTGTGAAGTAATAGTATATTTTAAAATTAACCATTGAAAATGTGAGTGAAGAAGAAGGTTAGATGGCTGATTTCAGTATGGGTGTACTAGCCTGGTACACTACACTGTTTGCCAAATAAGAAAAATGCCCATATTATGAAAGCATTTTTGGAAACTGGGTTACCAAAAATCACTAGCACTGAAGCAGAGAGACATGGGGAAGAACTCAAACTTTTCCCAAGAAGTCTCAGTATTTCAGTACCACAGGTGTGGGCAGGAAGAATAGCTCACCCAGAAAGAACCAAACTAAAAACCTAAATTTCGAAGCACACCTACACATTTAGCTGGTGCAGCAGCCTCCCCAGATACAAAGAAAATGACCCTTCTCTGCACAGTACTCGGTGATGTAAAAACATCTGGATTCTTTAGCTTAGAGAAGACAGAACCTCCTAGTGGGTTGAATAGTGCTTCTGGTTCCACTGACTCTCCTCTGATTCCTCATATGGCCACTGAAATTTCATGCACTCGTCAGTTCAAAGTTTGGAATTCTATCCAGTCTTGAGACTACTATTTTTTATTTCTTTGCAGTTAATTTTTTTGCATTGAGATTTTTGCCCCTCTGAATTCTAGCCTGTTGCCTCTTAGGTTCCTTGCTGCCTTCTCTTCCCCAGATAAAAGCAGCCTACAAATGTCAGTGTTATTTCTAAACCCACAGTAGGTAACTCAGTCCTAGTAATCACTTCCCAGGCTGTCAGCTAATAATGGTAGCCCCCAAAAGGCGAGTGCTTTTTGCAGTGAAACCATCATCAGTTTCTAAATACCTCCTTTCCTCAGACTAATTAAAAAATAACAGTATAACACTATTTCCCTTTGGTTTTAAACATTTCAGTAACTTCTTCTTTATGGACATTTCCAGAGAAGGAACAATAATTCTTTTTTCCATGTTGAAACGTTCATGGATATATTTTCGAATCTTCAGTCTAGAAGAAACACAGGTAGCACAGAAGTCAGGAATCCTGATATGAGGTTGCAGTCACGCAGCCTTCATTGCCAGAGCCTCCACTGCCAGAGCCTCTACTCAAATTGCTTTTTCATGTTTTCTGCCCCATTTAACACAAGTTTCCCATAATCCTTGGAGGTCCAATCTCAATTGCCTTCCTTCTCAATCTTTCTTCTAGCCTGTTCTCCCCTGACTTGCTGTTCCTACAGCCAGATGGACTTGCACTGCTGAGTGCTGAGATGCGGCCTCTCGTGGGAGGAATCCCTAGCACCTGCCCACCTTGTTCAGATACCACAGGCGAATGAATTAAGAGACCAATAAAGCATGCTATTTTTTTGTTTGTTTAACTCTGAAAACAGTGCACTACTATGTGAAAAAGTGGGAATAGGTCTGCATTTGTCTTAATTTAGAGACACTTTAGTGCATCTTGGGTTAAATTTTAAGTAATACGATAGCTTCAGACCCCAATAAAAGAGAAGCATTAGTTCAATCCAGTCAATGCCCCACCTCAAACAACACTGGGGCTTGTAGCCATTCTCACCCCACTGGGAGCCCACCCCATCATGTCAGGGTTTGGGGAGAAAGTCAAAAGTTATCCTCCAGAGGAAACACTAGGCGGGTGCCACGGCTAGAAACCTTCTGGTCTCCCATTCCCAGGTCTCGCTCCAGCACTTCCTCGGAGCTGCTCTTTGTTCTCCGACTGCCCTCGAGACTTGTGGAGGCTGTGTGGGAGCCTGAGGAGCCATTCGCAGTCACTGTGCTGTCCCCGTAGGTCAAAGTGAGGTCACCCTCAGTCAGGATGAAATCGGAGTCTTCCTCTCTCAGTGGCTCTTGGTTCTGAAAGGTGCAACCAACAACAACAGAAATGGGAGACTGATATCTTCCACGGCTGGAGCCAACCCCAACCCCAACCCCAAATCTTCATCTGAAAACTGGGGATGATGAAACTTGCCTGCCGTGAGCCTCCAGTGTGGTAACTGGATATAAACTGTAGAGTGCAATTAGAGGCACAGCTCTACTGCCAGGAACAGGATTTAGAAGACTAGAAAGCAGTTCAGATTTCAAATGCCTGACAGCTCAGGGCTAGTGAGGAAGGGGAGAAAGGGAGACCAGCCCGGATTTCCAGCTTCCCAACTCACAAAGAAAGGCTAGGGTAAGGTCACTGGGCAAATGATGCAAATATGTTTCCGGTGCTCTCTTTTCCAGGGAGGTCTTCTGCCCCCTGCCCTAAACAAACCATCCTCAACCCACTTTGTTTACATTTGAACTACTCTTTGTCCTAGTCAGCAACTGAAGGAAGAGGACAAACCACAATTAGAATTTCCTCCGTGTTTCCTCTCTGATGTCCCCACAGGAAAACCCTGCTAGGAAGGCTGTCCCTCTACATCCTTAGGTAATAGAAAAGTAGAGTACATTTTATTGAGCATCTATTACATGCCTGCCAGGAATGTCACATAAGCTTTCATTGGATCCTTACTCCCCACCCCCATGAAAGGCACAGACACTCTTACCATAGAGTAGAAAACCTGAACTAAGAGAACCTATGAAAAGTGCCTGAAGTCGTCTAGCTGATAGGAAGCAGAAATAGAATTTATGCTGCCTCCAGACGGGTTTTACTCCCATAAAGGATGTGAAAAATCACCCCATCAGGAAAAGGGCTGGAATGGCATGTCATGCTAAGCAGCAGGTGTAGCAAAACAAACAAGGCTGAACAAGGCAGGCCTTAGCAAAGTTGCAACCACTTGAACTACCAGATATTGGGGAGAGTATCGGGAAACAGCACCGAGTCAGAGAGAATCTTCTACCTTCCAGTAGGTTTAACAAGCAAAACACAGGGAGGATCATGACCCAGCTCACCCGCTGCACTGAGGCCTGTCAAACATCATGGATGTGGCCTTCTTGAATGGCAAGCACACAGTGACCAATGTTCCCAGTTAACGTTTTTTTCTCCCCCATTTCCTGCTGACCCCTCAAAGTTCATCTGAAGTCCTGCATCCTCAATAAGATAGGGCCTCCAGGACACCAAACTGGCCACCATGATCTCCTCCAGACCCCTACTCAGTCACACCGCCCAAGGCCAGGGGCAGATTCCCTGGGTCAGTGCCTGGACTTCCCATCAAGATAAACCACCAAAGGGCAGTGACCTCCTTCTCTGCATGTTGGCACCTCCCTCAGAGGCACTTCCCTCACAGGAGGTGCTAAACAAATGCCCAGTAAATGCACTGAGCTAGGGAGGATTCATGGGTTGAGTCCCTTTCCAGCCTATTTCTGTGCACTTACTAGTGACAAGCACACACTTGTCCTCTGCATAATTTCTCAGTGATGTGGATTTCTCCAGACATGGTCTACAATGTGACTCCACCTCACCAACGCTCCAGCATCTTTAACAGGCAAGCATGCAACTCCTCTCTCTTGCTGCCTCAAGTCCCCACTGGAGTGAAGCAGGGTGCAAATGCACAATGAGATAAAAATCCTGTACTCAGGCAGACATTTAGAGCACAGTTCTAATAGTCCAAATTCCCAAATTTCTTCCTCTTCAGTGGTGTTTAGAAAGTCCTGAAACTCAATCTGCTCTATAATGGTTTTCTCTTTTCTTTTTTGAATCAGAGTCTCACTCCTTCGCCCAGGCTGGAGTGCAGTGGCATGCACGCTCACGGCCACCCCAGCATCAACCTGCTGGACTCCGGCAATCCTTCCACCTCAGCCTTCCAAGTAGCTGAAACTACAGACACGTGCTAACACGCCCGGCTATTTTTTATTTTATTGTAGAGATGAGGTCTCACTAAGTTGCTCGGGCTGGTCTCAAACCCGCGGGCTCAGGCAATCCACTCACCTCGGCCACCTAAAGTGCTGGGATTATAGGCTGAGCCACTGAGCCCAGCCTCTATGATGGTTTTCTTAACAATAAATGACATCATGTGTCTCATCCAAATTTCCAACTCTCAGGGAGTCCCTCTTCCCTGTCTTAGCACACTCCAATTCTCCTGTTCATACATGTGCTAGATGATGTTTTTGTTCATCTCTGTCAAAGTGTCTCTTCCAGGGCTCTTAACCCCCAACTTTCAGGGAGGACAGTCCTGGCATGTATTTTACTGTTTCAAGGTTTAGAGTCATGAAGGGATAGAGACAAACACGGGACAACTGCATGTGAAGGTAATTCTGCAAATGGAGGAAAGCCCACCATAGCACCACAGAGGAAATTCCAGGCATGAACTCTGGTGTGGCCTGCTCTGGCTCCTAGCAGAGGGAAGCAGGGCCAAAATTCATTGACAGGAGAAAACAAGACTAGATGTTGACACATTCCATTTATGAAATTCACAAGCCCAGGCATAGCACCCAAGGAAAGATCATTCAGAAATGACACAGTGAAACCCATGGAGAATGATTCCCAAATCAAAGCTTAGTCATCTTAGATGCAGCTGATGAAACCAACCCACTCCCTTGAATTCTAGATGATAGGATCAATACAAGTTTTGTAAGGCTGAAGGTCTGTATAATTCTGTTACTAGCTGTTCAGGGAAGGCTGCTACGAACATACAGTGAAATAACCCAGAAAACTCCTGCAAACCACAGTTTGGGAATGTGTGTGTTTCTAATAACCAGAGGTCATTTTCGTAAGTTGAAGAACACTGTTTTCTAGGTAGATATCAAACCTAAGTGATTCAGAGTTAGTGGAATAGCTGATGAATATTTTAGAAATCTCCAGATCAACTTGGCAAAGGACAAAACACCCTACAGGTGATGGATGAGAAGAACACAGTATGTGTCAAAAGCCATGAGACCAGACTAGTCCAAGATCCTTACCCGTCACTAAACTCCACAGTGAACCCCTTCACCTCTCTCAACTTTGGGTTCTTCCATTGATAATTTCAAACATAATTTTTGCTCCCACTCTCTCAGCAGCAGGCCTCACTGCATCTGGAGCTAGCTGAGACCCTGGGCAGGACTGCAGCCTAAAGCAACCACAGTGGTATTGAGGATGATCCTTGCTGGAAGCTCAAGTCACTCTATCTTAGGGAGGCTATGGGGAGTCCACAGCCCAAACATAATCCCTGGAAGCAAACCTTGAGTAGTCTCTTGAGCTAATGAAGGAAGCACTTAAAATGTACGCAACTGTAAGTTTATTGAATTTATGTTGAGTTCAGACTAGTCCAGACAGTCCTTTTCTATGAGCAAGGTTAGTAAGTTTCAGATTAGATAAGGTTTTATAAAGTTCTAACAGTCTGTTGTTTTAATATTACATAGACAGGAAAAGTGACCCTTATTAAAACCTAATTAAGATGGAAGGCTTTACGAATTTTTCAGAAGAGATTAGAGCTGGAAGACAAAAATAAAGTATACCCAGTGAAACTTAAGGTGTAATCGTAGCTGGAGCTTCACTAGTGAGAGAAGTAGAGATGCCAGGTCAGCACGCTTTGTCTCCAATAATGAAACACATCCAAATGGCCCCTAATGACACTTTATACTAAGAGGGCCAAACTGAGCAAACCATTCAACATCCATATAAGACAGCTTTTCCTAAGTAAGCAAGTAGTAGGATGAGAAGTTATAAAACTAAATTTTTGATCTATTGGTTTGTATCCTTGTAACCTAAAAGATAACTAGCGTTATTATTTAGGCTGATAGATATTACCTTAAAAACTTATCATGAGCATTAAAAATCACCTTACAATTTGGGAACAGTTCTAGGGGAATGGTATCCTCATCAGCCACTCCATTTCTTTTTATAATTTAAAACCAGTTTATCAAAGGTGGCACAGGAATTTCATTTTTTTTTTTTTGAGTTGGAGTCTCACTCTGTCGCCCAGACTGGAGTGCAGTGGCCGCTCCCGGCCACCGCAGCCTCGACCTGCTGGGCTCCGGCGATCCTTCCGCCTCAGCCTTCCGAGTAGCCGGAACTACAGGCATGCGCTACCACGCCTGGCTGATTTTTTGACTTATTGTAGAGATGAGGTCTCGCTGCCCAGGCGGGTCTCGAACCCGCGGGCTCAGGCAATCCACTCACCTCAGCCTCCCAAAGGCGCGGGATTACAGGCTGAGCCACCGAGCGCGGCTAGGAATTTCATTTTTATGTGAGGGGGAGCTAGGGATGCCAGAAAGCTCGACTGTCTTTAAGAGAAGGAGGCATGAATGTTTCTGGTTGTCACATTTGGTGAAAAGTCAAAGAAAAGGTCATGGCAGAATTGTATTTTTACCAGGCAGGACTTGCTCTCCCAAGGGTTCCTAGGAGCCCAGATGGGTTTGCAGGTATAAAGTTCCATCATTGCCCACCAAGCCTTTTCGATGGTCGCCTTCCTCTGATGGGGCTGAGGAGGCACCCAAGGGCCTTGGAATGACACACACACAGAGCTTATTCTCTGCCGGGCTTTCCCAGTGCACAACAGCAGTAGGTTTAGGACATATGGTTACCTGGCAAGTTTAATCTCTGTTCTTGAAGGAAGAGTGTGCCATTTAAGAAGCTGCATCCTCCAATCTTGGGTGCTCTGATGTGGCTGCCCTTCCCTTCCGCCCCAGCACTCTCACATAGCTATGATGTCCACATCCCTTTCCCTTGTGTACCACATGAACATGCATCACACTTTCTAAACCTGCCACCCTCCATTAGAACTTACCTGTTTAGAGACCCTTTCCCTCAGACCTAGGCTTTGTTTTCTGCTTTCTCATCACTGATCAAGTAAACCTGACGGCCTACATTAGGGTCCCAGCCAATTACCAACTGTAGGTCTATGAACAACTCACACTATTGCTGAAACGGACTTCTTCATCTGTAACGCTGCAGTACCTGCTTATTCACAGTATGGCCAAGAGGATGAAATTAGCCTTTGTAAGCTGTGAAGCTGTACACAAATTTAGCAAGTTCTTTTCTCCTAGGCTATAATTTCTGTGTTAATGACAAGATGATTAGGATGGTCCAGGAGAGATCGAGAAGAAGGAGGGTCTCTGACCTCTCTTCTCCTCCTTCCGTGTGGGTAGTTGCTTGTTCTCTCTACCTCTCTGCCCTGCAACCCACACAGCAGGAGCTCAAGAATCAACCCTAAGTCTAAGCTGTCTAGCAGTGTGGGTGTTCTTTTCATACTGTGCTGAGTCTATTTCTAGAATCTGAAAATGGAAAGAAAGGTCCTAACCACATAAGCAGAAATAAACTATTTACAAAAGGAATCCTTGAATTCGCTAAAAACTTTGCAGTTCAGTGTATCTTTCTGCACCTCAAGATTTAAAGCTCACAGTCAGGCTACACTACTAGGCCTGTTTTACAGATTAAAAAACTGAGGCACAGAGCACTTCTGTGGCCTGTCAGGGCTTGGATTCCAAAGCCCTAAAAATTTCTAGTTGTTCTGATTCCAAATCTGGTGTTCTTTCTACTACACCACAGTTACTGATGTTGGGGAACCCCATAACCCTAGTAAAAAGGCTTCTCTGTTATTGTGCAAAATATATAAACTTACGTATGTTTATATACGTAAACAGACGTAAGTTTATATATTTTATATATTGGCTATTTCTAATCATCTTATTAGAGAGGCAATTGGAGGCATGAGTGGGCGATGTCTCTTCTTCCAATGTAAGAGACTACCCTGGCATGGTGAGCAGGACTACCCCCCTTGACATGCTGTACTTACATCGTACACCTGAGGACTGGTCAGACATCGAGCTAGCAAGCCACACCAGGTGGGCAGAGTGGTGGTTAGTGGGGGGCCGCTGTGTGTGAGGATGGGCTTCAAGTAACTTTAAAACGGGAATTAAGGAAAAAGGGCTGCAAAGAAAACACACACAACAAAATGTGCTTAAAAATCACAGGGTAAATCGTATTGCATTCTATCCACAGAAAGCTTCTTTTCTCCATTTTATCAGTACAATCCAGAAAACATTTGTAACACACTAGCTGGAATCAAAGAGTAAGCTAGGCCCCATCAGCCTAAATACTAACGGGTAACTCTCAGGTTAGTAATTACCAATTTTCAGTTAAAATGTTTATTTGATGAGTTAGAACTCCCTTCTCCCTTCCTGTCATGTTGAATGAAGGCTTTGGTTTTCATCAGCATTTCAGCTTCAGACACTCAACCAACTCCAGGCCTTGGAAACAGAAGACAGTGTTACCTGGATTGAGGGTTGTAGCTCTCATTCTTTGCAAGTTTTCCTGTTGAACCACTCCACCGAGAGGGACATGGTGGAAATGTTGGAGTTGGACAGGACTTTAGAGGCAACCTGGGACTACCACAAAGGTGGAAACTGAGACTTGGCGAGGCAAACCATTTCAATAAGGTTATTCAGACCATAATTCCCCCAATGTCCCTTGTAGGACTATTCTTCACTCTACCTGCACTTCTCTCCCAAACCCTCTAACACAGGGCTTCTCAATCTTGACACTATTGACATTTGGGGCCAGATCATTCTTTGTTGTGGGGGGCTGTCCTGTGCATCATAGGATACTCAATGCAGCATCTACCCACTATAGATGCTTCTCTACTTATGGTGGGGTTATGTCCCAATAAACCCACTTTAAGTGGAATATATTTTAAGCTAAAACGCATTTAATACACCTAACCTACTAAGCATCATAGCTTAGCTTAGCCTACGTTAAACATGCTCGGAACACTTAAATTAGACTACAGTTGAGCAAAACCATCTAACATCAAGTCTATTTTATAATAATAAAGTATTGAATATCTCATGTAAATTATTGAATACTGTACTGAAAGTGATAAACAGCATGGGTATACAGGTTTTCAAAGTTCAGCTTTTACTGAATGTGTTATCACTTTTGCATCATTGTAAAGTTGAAAAATTGTAAGTTGAACCATCCTAAGTTGGGGATTGTCTGCAGATGCCAGTAGCACTTTTACTCCCCTCCTCAAGTTGTGACAATCACAAATGTCTCCAAAAAAATTGTCAAATGTCCCCTGGAAAGCAAACTTGCCCTAGGATGAGACTACTGCTCTAACAAGGAGGTCAACTGATAAGTTCAGGATTTGTCACTCAGTGAACCTTAGTGCTACCAAATGCACGGCCTTATGTGGGAAGCACCAGTCACATTATGATAGAGCTGGGCCATTTCTCAGACCCAATGTGGAAAGGTGGGGTCTCAGATGGCCACCTCAACTACATGGATGGCACCAAGGAACTTTAAAGGAAGGCAAGGAGATGCTATAACTGTCTGTATCTAAGAAGATGACTGTTGGGAGCCTTACTACTCCACTTCCTGTCTTCATTTAGAGCAGCATGAGATAAAAGAAGCTCTCTCCAGAGGAGGAGACGGAAGGGAGATTCTGGAGCATGCCTGTAGCTTGAAATTCCTTAACCAAAGAGGATTTGAGGGCTCAGCTGTAGCTCTTTTCACACGGAACCAACTCCTCCCCGCTTTTTAAAAAATTTTATTGTAAAGATGGGTACAATTCAGGGTTATGTATACAAATGGTCAGCTTCCCTTTGACTGCTATCTAGAACCACATTCACAGGGAGAAGTGCAGGTCAGGCACTCCTCCAACTCAGGAACAGTCTCTACAGGCCTGTCAGTTTTCTTGTGTCTTTGGCTCAGGTGACAGAGGCTCAGATCTGTAGAATGCCAACTAAGCAAGAGTCAAAGGGAACCCAGAGGCTGTCTTTCAGTTCCTTGTCTAAAGCACTTTAAAGACAAGCTCTCTCTTCTCCTAATGCAGCAGGCCCACTAACAACTTCTTCAAAAAAGAAAAAAAATATATATATGTACATAGAGGTTTTTAAGTATTCAAACTGTTGGAAGGGCACAAAATGAAATATCAGGTCTCTCTTTCCCACTCTAGTTGTTCTGGTAATTGCCATTACAGTTTTATATAATACATTTCTTCTCCTATTTCTTGATGTATAAACTTTAGGCAGAGGTTTTTAACTCCCTCCTGTGACGGATAGTAAGTTTAATTCATTTACACGCCTGTCACTTCTTCCCATTTTTTCTTTCCAATTTTTATTATAATTAATTTTATACTAAAGATACATAATATTCGCTTTCTATTTTATACCTAGTAAGTAGATTTTCTATGCTTTGTTTACAGATTGAGTTTAAGTGTTACAAAATCAATAAGCAGCATTTGTAATAATGTCACTGTATGAATGTTGTTCACTGTTGAACCAAGTAGAGTGGTTGGAGCAATATAAAAGGAAATGTGATACACTGCCATTGAAACTTTGTCAGTCAGAAGAGAATCCTTACAAGTAAACAACCTAACAGCTCCTAATATAAAGGCAAGATCACCTAAATCCTAACTTCAGCAGAAGAATCCAGACCACCAAGAGAAGATCACAATTGTAAGATATAGAAGACAAAACTATAGAAAGGATTAATAAGACAAAAAAGCTGGTTCTTTGAAAGGATAAATAAGATTGGTGGTCTTCTGGCCAGAATGACTAAAAAAAGAGAGAAAGTCAAAATAAACACAATTAGAAATGCAAAAGGAGAGGTCACAACTGACACTGAAGAAATTCAAAAGCTTATCAGAAAGTACTATGCATACCTGTATGCAAATCAACTAGAAAACCTAAAGGTAATAAAGGACTTTCTGACATCACACAACCTACCAAGATTGAAGCAAGAAGAAACTAAAACTCTAAACAGACCAATTACAATCCAGGAAATCAACTCAGTCATAAGAAATCTCCCCACCAACAAAAGTCTCAGATGGCTTCCCTGCTGAAGTCTACCAGACATACAGGGAGGATCTGATATCAATCTTACTGAAAGTATTCCAGGTAATCAAGAATGATAGCATTCTCCCCAACTCATTTTATGAAACTAACATCATACTGATACCCAAACCTGACAAAGCTGCAACAAGGAAAGAGAATTACAGGCCAATCTCTTTGATGAACATAGATGCAAAAATTCTCAACAATATTCTAGCAAATTGAATCCAACAACATATCTCAAGGATCATCCACCATGACTAGGTGGACTTCGTTCAACATTTGCAAGACCATAAATATAATGCAGCACATTAACAGATGTAAAACCAAGAACCACACAATTATCTCATTAGATGCAAAAAAAAGCATTTGACAAAATCCAGCATCCCTTCAAAACATCTATGTCTATGATAAACCCACAGCCAACATTTTGCTCAATGGGCAGAAGGTGGAAACATTTCGCCCTAAGAACAGGAACAAGAAAAAGATTCCCACTCTTACCCCTCCTGTTCAACATAGTGCTGTAAGTCCTAGCCAGAGCAATCAGGCAAGAGAAAGAAATCAGGGGTATCCAAATAGGAAAAGAGGAAGCTAAGCTATCCCTCTTTGTGGACAATATGATTCTATACCTTAAAAACCCTAGGGAGTCTGTCAAAAGTCCCCTCACACTGATAAATGACTTTGGTAAAGTCTCGGGGTACAAAATCAATGTGCAAAAGACAGTTGCATTTCTATACACCAGCAACAAGCAGGCAAAGAACCAAATAAAAAAGCACACTCTCATTCACAATAGCCACAAAAATTTGAAATATCTTGGCATCCACCTTACCAGAGAAGTAAAAGATGTTTACAACGAGAACTACAACACACTGCTCAAAGAAATCAAGGATGACACAAACAAATGGAAAAACATTCCATGCTTATGGATTGGAAGAATCAATATTATCAAGACATCCATTCTATCCAAGGCAACCTACAGGTCCAATGCAATACCCATCAAATTACCAACATCATTTTTCTCAGACTGGGAAATGACAATACAGAAATTCATATGGAAACAAAAAAGAGCATGGATAACCAAATCAATCCTCAGAAAAAGGAACAAAGCAGGAGGTATCACACTTCCAGACTTTAAACTTTATTACAAGGCTACAGTAACCAAAACAGTCTCCTAGTATTGGTACAAGAATAGGCACACAGACCAATGGAACAGGACAGAGATTCTGGAAGCAAAAACACGGTCTCTCAACCAACTCATCTTTGACAAAGCCACCAATAAAAATCTCTGGGGAAAGGAAACCATATTTAGCAAATGGTGCTGGGAAAACTGGCTGACCACGTGCAGAAGAATGAAACTGGATCCCTACCTATCACCATATACATAAATCAACTCAAAGTGGATCAAAGACCTAAATGTAAAACTTTAAACTATAAGAAACCTAGAAGAAAACACAGGAAACATACTTATGCACATGGGAGTAGGCAATCAATTCTTCACCAAGTCCCCAAAAGCAAACACCATAAAAGCTAACTTAGACAAGTGGGACCTCATCAAACTGAAAAGCTTTTGCACAGCAGAAGAAACCATCAAGAGATTAAAGAGACAACCCACAGAATGGGAAAAAGATATTTGCAAATTATGCATCATCTGACAAAGGTCTAACATCCAGGATCTATAAGGAACTCAAACAAAGTGAAAGGAAAAAAGAAAAACTCCATTGAAAAGTGGGCAAACAGACACATGAAAAAATGCTCAACCACACTAATCATCAGAGAAATGCAAATCAAAACTACAAAAAGATACCACCTAACTCTGGAAAGGATGGCTATCGTTAGTAAGTTAAAAACCAACAGATACTGGCGTGGATGTGGAGAAAAGGGAAAATTTTTACACTGTTGGTGGGAGTGCAAGCTAGTTCAACCTCTATGGAAAGCAGTGTGGTAATTCCTAAAAGAACTAGAAATTGACCTTCCACACAATCCAGCAGTCCCTCTCCTGGGAATACACCCGGAGGAAAATAAATCGTTCTACAAAAAAGGCACCTGCATACGCATGTTTATTGCCACTCTATTCACAATAGCAAAAACACAACACAGCCCTACACAACACAACCCTACAGCCCACTGAATGTGGACTGGATAAAGAAAATGTGGTACATATACATGATGCTGTATTATGCAGCCATAAAGAACAAAACCATAGACTTTGCAGCAAATTGGACACAGTTGGAGACCATCATACTAAGTGAACTATCACAGAAACAAAAAACTGAATACAGCGTGTTCTCACTCATAAGTGGGACCTGAACAATAGTCACATTAGCACAAGGGAGGGATGGGCAATTGCTGGGCACTGCTAGGAGAGGGAGGGAGGGAGGGAGGGAGAGAGGGAGGGAGGGAGAGAGAGAAGAAAGGAGGGAGGGAGGGAGGCACATGACAACACAAAGGGAACCTGGTCCACTATCGGGGGAGTGAGGGTCAGTTAGAAGCCCAAACTTCACGGGCACACAGTCTACTTATGTAGTTAATCCTCACTTGTACTCCACATCTCTATAATAAAATAAAATTTTAAAAAAGAAGAGAATCCTTCAGTGTCTTGCTAAACAAAGGCTCTTCTTTTAATTTCTTTTTTACTTCGTTCACTTCTTCTGGGTTATAACAATCATTGTTTCTTCAACCTTGTCCCTTTGTTGGATTTTGTTCTGTTTGGTCCTTAGTGTTATTTTTCTTCCTTCTTATAGGGTCTGTACAGTGCTAAACTTTCTGTATTCTTTTTTTTTAATTTTTAATTTTAAAAATGTGAATTCTTGCATGTCTGACAGCTAACCTCCTTTTTTCTTTGATTGACATTTTAGGTGTAGAATTCTAGGTTCCGATTTTTTTCATCTTAGAACTTTGAAGTCATTGCTCAACTGTATTCTAACATTCAATTTTGCCCATGAGATGTTTGATTCTCGCCTTTTGGGGGCTGCTTGATCGTCTCTTTGGAAGCCTCAAAGTTTCCCTCTTTGTATCTTGGAGTCAAGGAATGTCCTCATAAGATGTCCATTCATCCTACTTATACTTGGCAGGCCCTTGCACTCTGATTATTTCCTTGGGACTTTTCTTCCTCCATGGTCTCCATTGTCTCCTTTCATATTCTGTTAAATGATTTGAACCATCTGGGTCTGACTTCCACATCTTGAAACTCTCCTCTTATACACCTCTGACTTTTTTCTCTAATTCTTACAGTTTTTTTCCTCAATTTTACTTTCCAGATCAACAATTTTGTCTTCATGTTCAAGTTGTTTAATTATCCATTACATTTTTTGGGTTAATCTCAGAAACTTTATTTTCAATTTCTAAGAATTTCTTCTTATTTGATTTATTCCTTTTTCTTTTCTTTTTCTTTTTTTTTTTTTTTTTGAGTTGGAGTCTCACTCTGTCACCCAGACTGTGGAGTACAGTGTCATGCTCCCAGCCACTGCGGCCTCACCCTACTGGGCTCCGGCGATCCTTCCGCCTCAGCCTTCCAAGTAGCTGGAACTACAGGTGTGCACTACCATGCCTAGCTAATTTTTGATTTATTGTAGAGACGAGGTCTTGCCAAGTTGCCTGGGTTGGTCTCGAACCCACGGGCTCAGGCAACTCACTCGCCTCGGCCTCCCAAAGTGCTGGGATTACAGGCTGAGCCACCGAGCCCGGCCTATTCCTTTTTCTAATAATCTGCTCTTATATCCTGATTCTCTCTCAATCTTCTCTTTTATCTCAACTCTCTCTCTAAAGATTTTGTTATAAAAATTAACATTTAAATATTTAGAATTGTTTAATTACATTGGCATCCCTGCCTTCATGTCTTTATTTAGTTTCTCCATTCATCAGTCAGGTTGGGGACTTCTACCAGTTGGAGGGGGTTACTCTGGGGAGAAAAATCTTTGATGCCCTCAAGATACACTTCTCTACCAAGCCCTCCCCAGGCAGTATCTCTACTTTCTTTCTTTCTTTCTTTCTTTCTTTTTTCTTTTTTTTTTTTTGAGTTGGAGTGGCCGCTCCCGACCACTGCAGCCTCGCCTGCTGGGCTCCAGTGATCCTTCCACCTCAGCCTTCTGAGTAGCCGGAATTACAGGCACGCACTACCACGCCCGGCTAATTTTTTTATTTTATTGTAGAGATGAGGTCTCGCCCGCGGGCTCAGGCAATCCACTCACCTCAGCCTCCCAAAGGCACGGGATTACAGGCTGAGCCACCAAGCCCGGCTGTCTCTACTTTCTTTAGAGATCCACGGCCTGAAGTTAATCTTCTGACAGAAGAAGTGCCTGTTGCAGCTGTTCTTAATAAATAAATCACCTTAAAAATCACCTGAACAAATTGGCTCGACTCACTTTTGTTTTGGGCTATAGTTTTCTCTAATATAATTCTCTCTATCTTTGGACTTCCAAGTAGTCAAAAATATCTCTTCTGTGATTTCAATGCAGACTAGGAAGAAAACAGAGGTATATGTATGCACAGAGCCTCTCATCTTAAACTAGAAGCTCATCTATCGCATTTTAAGGCTAGTTCAGGGAAGGAGGTCTCACACTCCCTCCTGCGGCCTATGGGAGCCATTCATGTTCAGCTGAACTTCTGATGCAGCCAAAGTCCACATTTTCTTGTTAGATCATCTGATTCTTATGTTCTTCTTAGTTTCTCTTCTCCAAACTAAAAAGTAGACATCCCAAAGTCTCTAAAATTTAGATTCAGTAGACACTTTAGAGATAACTCCTGTTCCTCTTCAAATAATCATATTCTTATCACTCTAGCATTTTGGCACTCTCTCAGCAGATATTTTTTCTCTACATCCTTTCCAAGCCCAATGAGCAGCATTATTCTGGATTACAATATAGACATAGCTCAGCTTAAAACATTCCCAGCGTTCTGTTTTAATGAATAGCAAACAAGGTAATTTGAACCAACCTATCCCTTGAGAACAACTAGAAAAGCTGGATAAAATAATACAAGACAAAACTGTCAGTTTGCTGGCTTCAGAAAACCACCAAGGCAGTAAAGTGGGCCAGAATCTGAGAGGAGGAAACCCAAGAGGTGAGCCCACACTTGGTGAGCCACAGTTGCCCTAAAGGTACCTGAGAAGCTGAGCAGAGCATCTGGCAAACTCACAAATATAGAGCAAGACTGACAAAAACCAGAGTCCATAGTCTAACCAAGGAAGAAGATGTAGAAATCTCAGGCTTTGGGTGGGGACCCTCGAAAAAGCGGCAAAGAGAAAACAGACTAACCCTCACAGGAACTGATGCCCAGCTTCAAATCACTTTATTTCTGATTGGATCAAGGTGATCTCCAATTGCTAATATACCTAGTCACTGACCAGATGTAAACTTAAATCATCTCTGAGGTGGAAGAAATTTTTTTTAATCACATATGATCAGCAAAAGACTCATATCCAGAATACACAAAGAACTCTTACAAATCAGGACTCTGGACTCAATAGAAAAATGGGCAAGAGATTTGAACAGATACTTCATAAAGGAACATACCAAACTGTCAGTAAATACATGTAAAGATGCTCAATCCTATTAGTCATCAGAGAAATGCAAATTATAGCCACAATGAAATACCACTACTGCTAGAAGGCTACAATTAAAAAGACTAAATAAATAAATATATCAATAAAATTAAAAGACTGACCACACCAACTGTTGATGAGGATATGGAGCAACTAGAACTCTCATATACTAGAGGTGAATGTGTAAAGTAGTATTATCACTTTGAAAAACTGTTTGGCACTATCTTCTAAAATTGAACCTACCCGTGTCCTATGATCCAGTAATTTCACTCCTGAGTAGATTCCTAACAAATATATATATATATATATACATGTGCACTAAAAGACATGCACAAGAAGATTCATTGTAATATTTTTCATAATTGCTCCAAACTGGAAACAACCCACTTGTTCATCAATAATAGAATGATAAATTGTGATATATATTCATACAGTGAAATACTCTGAAGCAATGAGAACAAATGAACTAGAGTAACACATATCAACCTGGATGAATCTTACAAATACTATCAAGCCAAATAAACCAGACACTAAAATATATATACTGAATAATCCTATTTATAGAAAACTGAAAAACAGGTAAAACCATTAAGTGTTGCTAGAAGTCAGGAGAGTGATTATGTTTGGGGAGGGGGAAGGGGGTAGGAATTGGGTTAGAGCATGAGGGAAGCTGGAAATTTTATGGTTTTTGTCTGGTTTGGTGTTAAGTGAGTATGTTTATTTTGTGATAATTTTTGAGCATTTACGATTTGCGTACTCATCTGTATATTTGTCATTATTCAATAAAAAATTTTCAAACATTTTCAAAGTCTCCAAAGGCCATATATAATAAGCCCATCTGCCCATTTGATCACTATGTCAATTTAAGAAACCATGAGGGTTTAACCTTTTTGGTTTTTAATTTTCATCTGGGACCAAGCAAATCTACTAGAACAGGATTGGCTCTGCATGTGGCCCAGTTATGCCTATCAGATTACACTAGATCAGACTTGGCTGAGTTCAGCCAATAGGAATTATTCTCTCCATATGGACTAACGCTTCCCTTCCTTACCACAGCATAGTTCATTGTGTAATTTTAATCTAACATACCTAAAAAGGAACAGTACCCTGGAACGCAAAGCTCTCAAGAGCCACATAAGTCTACCAGGCTGTGCACTGGCTACTCTAAGAATATGCAAACATTCCTCTTGGTCAGAGAGATGCTTACAGGGCTAACTATGGTTGAATGAACAATGAATGTGTTCCATGAGAGGACTAACTACACCTGTCTCGAGCATGAATCTTTCCTTACTCCTCAGAAGTTATTCATAGACAACTCAACAAGAAGATATCATCACCAATATTTCATGGACACAGGAAATGCTATGTAAAAGGATACTTGTGATCAAAGCTGTACCACAGCCTGAATATCCACGCGCTCTCCTGCTTTGTCCGGTTTCCTCTGGCAGAATCTGGGCCATCCTAGGAATAAACAAGAGGATACATGCTTAGTTGTACAAAGGGGATCTCAAAGAAGGGGGGAAAAGGCTTCTTTTTTATCTATAACTTTTATAGATCTGGAGCTCATAGTCAAACATCCCACAGCACCAAAGTTTCAAAGATGTATTGAAAGGTAATATTTGAGCAGAAACTGAATAAACCCAAAAAGCAGAAAAATCAATCCCCAAAATTAAAAAAAAAGCTTGGCTAGGTTTGTGGATAGATCAAGTCAATGTAGAATACAATTTCTTTGGCATGTTTATAGTAATTTTCCTCAAAGTGCCTTTCAGCAGATTAATTACCCTAAATGGTCTAGATACTAATGGGTGAAAACTGACTTATAGACAATATTTTAAAAGTTTCTGTAAAACTAACTTTCCAATATCCCCCTGAAGTGGGTCTAGGGAAACCACAACTTTGTTGAGTTTCCTGACAAACTAGACTAGTCTCCTCTATGGTCCTTACCCAGACACCTACACTGTGCTCCAGGTGGTAACTTGTTTCCCTACCAGTTTTAGGAAGGTGAGGTCAGTGGACAGAAAAACAGTGCCCAAACCAGTAATTCTGTTATTTTATCTACCCTCAAGTAGCGGGTTCCTTGCTACTCCTCTCATGCTCTCCCAATTCAAACACCCTCATCGTTTAATTTTAAAAACAACCTGCAAAATCAAACATCCATTTAAGGTTTAGGAAATCTGTTCTGTGCAATAAGAAGTACAATTAATATAAAAATTGGATTGACTACAGTAATTTGAGCCTGCTGGGGCTCTGAGAGTACAGATTGCTTGTAAAGCATAGCCATTTTTATCACCATCCTCTTTAATGTTCCAGGGAGGAGAGACTCAGGATGTAAGGAACAATTGACAATAACCCAAAAAAATTTGAACCAAAATTACAAGTAGTTTTAAAGCACAGTGAGTGTAAATTCTACCTGTAATAGCAACACCAAGGAATAATCAGAAATCTTTGAGAAGATAAACATGTAGACAAGAAGGGAAATTAGCAAACAGTGTTTACATTCCTAAAGCTTCCAACAGCAAAGATTATTTTAAAAAATTGAATCCCCAGGGTATTTGAGGAATGTTGTGACGGATATGGAAATGGCTTAAATGGGATGAGAAAATATAAGTAAGGACAGACTCCAGAGACTAATTTTATTTTACATTTTTATAAATCATGTGGAAGAAAGAGGCACAGAAATGTCTTCGTTTGTAGATAACAAGTGTTCCTTTGGGTAACTGATTACTAACCCAATGACAACTCTAGAAAGATTTCAAAATATCACAGGACTGAGTAGAAACATGGTAGATGACCTCTTTGACTGGTAAATATTTTTAAGGAAAAAATAGTAGTTCTTTATGACATGATCAGCTCTAAACGGTCATTTCTAAGTGCCTGTAGAATTTTACTAAAGAAAAAACTAGCAAAATGATAAATATCATCAGAAACGGTACTATAAACCACCAGGTACAAGAACAAGTCTCCCAACATCAATTTCTTACACTTTCTCCCTTGAATTAACAATGAAAACAACAAATCCTACTCCGTCATCTTTTTTTTTTTTTTTTTTTAGATGAAGTCTCACTCTGTCGCCAAGGTGAAGTACAGTGGCACATTCGTGGCCACCCCAGCGTCGTCCTGCTGCGCTCTGGCAAACCTTCTACCTCAGTCTTCCAAGTAGCGGTAACTGCAGGCGCATGCTACCACGCCCAGCTAATTTTTTGGATTTATTGTAGAGATGAGGTCTTGCCAAGTTGCCCGGTCTAGACTTGAACCCGCGGGCTCAGGCAATCCACTTACCTCAGCCTCCCAAAGTGCTGGGATTACAGGTTGAGCCACTGAGCCCAGCTGTCATCTTAACCTTTGCAAAACCACAAAGCATTTATTATCACCTGGAATGCTTAAGTTCTTGCATTCTCAACTCAAGAAAGCTACAAGAGACTTATGTAAGCCCCAAAGGGACAATTAAAACGAGTAAAACAAGGAAGGGGGTTCTATCTGACAGCAAACTAACAAAAAGCCCCAGAAAGATAAGCCTGCAACCCACAAATAAGATAAAGTAACTCAGATTTCACAGTGAATCTCAAAATGTAAGAAATTCAGAGACAACCCTTAAAGGTTACAAGGGTAAATTCAGGACAAATAAAAGTGTAACTTCATAAAAAGGGTGTTAAACAACTTGTTATTCCAAGAGATTGTGCCAGAAGCATGATTATGTAGGTACAGGAAGAACTTAGACAAATCCACACAGATGGTGGTTTTGGGAATATCAGCACAGTTCTGTGGAACAGAACTAGTGTATTATGCTGACCCGGAAGACAACCAGCAACTGCTTTGCCATATGATTAGGACTGTTATCACAGAGAAGCTGTGAGAATCCTTCCTGTGGGCTCTGAACAGCACAGAGCTGAGCAGGAGTCACCGTGGAAGCAGGCAAGGCCTCTTTCCCAGCAGCTGTACTTGGAGACTCTTCGATTTCCATCCCTGTGCTGCCTACAGAAAAAGCAAAGACTTGCTCTCTCACCTTATCCCTTTCCCAAACCTGCATTCCCACCAGTAGGGTTCACACCTCATGCCTGGAGCTCAGGCTCCTTCTAGAGCCTGAACACCCTTTTTTTCCTCTCACTTTCTCCCACCTACAGTGTTGATCTGGCTGACTTCTATTCATCTTTCAAGGCTATGGACAAGTGTGGCTTCTCTGAGAAATGTTTCAAAAACAACAGAGCACTCCAAGAGGTATAGATGTGGATACCACAGACTCTCTCAATAGACTACCTGTGTCCTGACTGTGCCATTACCTTGCTGTGTGACTCTGGGCAAGTGGCCTAACCTTTCTGTGCTTCAGTGTCCTCATCTGTAAAATGGAAATATTAATAATTACCTACCTCTAGGGGCATTATGAGGCTGTGATACTGTGATATAACAAAAAACAGATATTTGATTTTTGTCCTGGTTCCTGGCACAAAACTCCTAAAATCCTTGGAATTTCTTAAGTGGTTGGGGTGAAAGGAGTATCTTTTTATTCGTAATTCACCCCTTTCAACCATACCTAAGTTAATGCTACTGAAGTGGCACTTAAATGGGGGCTGGTTGCCAGAGGAACCAACCATGTGATGAGAGGGTTGGAACTTTCAACTTCCAAGCTGGGGGTTGGGGGTGGGAAGGAACTGAGGATTGACATAATTACCAATAGTCAATGATTAATAAAACCTCCATAAAATCCTGAATGACAGAGTTTAGAGTGCTTCTGAGTTGGTTCCATGCACTCCCATCCCATCTTTTACCTATATGAGGGGGGACTCCTCCCAGAAAACATAATTTATTAAAATATGTATATTTATTCATATATATTTAAACTTCAGTCACCTTCAAAATACTTGCCATTTGGTGCAATACACCTATTGAGACGCTTTTACCACTGCTCAAAACAGTTTTTGAACTTGTCAATTTTGATGCCTTTTAGTGGTTCTGCCATTTTTTTGCTTGTTTCACCTCTTCCACATTGGCAAAACATTTCCTTTGAGGACTTTTTTTAATCCAGGGAAACAACAAAAGTCTCTGGGGGTGAGACTGGGTGAATAGGGAGGGTGGGACACAGGGGCCATGCTGTTTTTGGTCAAAAACTGCTGAACACTCAGTACAGTGCAGGCAGTTGCATTGTCATGGTGGAAGAACCGGTCACCTGTTTGCCACAACTTGGGACATTTCTTTCACAAATCGTGATGCAACCATCTCAAAATTTCCAGATAAAAACTTTGGTTGACCGTATGACCTGGAAGAACGAATTCTGAGTGTACTACAAGGGGGCCCACTCTCCAAAATATATTTCTGGGTTTTTGTTTTTTGGTTCCCTTGCACATCTCTTCCATTTGGTTGTTCCTGAGTTGGATACATTTAAATAAACTGGTAATAGTAAATAAAGTGCTTTCCTGAGTTCCGCAAGTCACTCTCTAGCAAATTTTTGAAACCGAGGAAGAGATCACGGGAATCCCTGATTTATAGCTGATCAGTTAGAAGGACAGGTCACAGCTGGGACTTGCAACTAGTGTCTCAGTTTTGTGGGACTGAGTCCTTAACCTGTGGGATCTGACGTTAACTGACTCTGGGCAGTTAGCATCAGAATGAAGTTAAACTCTAGGACACCCAGTTGGTTCCTACTGAGAATTAGAGAAATGGTTGGTTTGGGGGGAAAAAAGTCCACATATTGGGTATTAGAAATGTTATGAGTGTAGAAAACAAAGGTTTTTATTTTAGAAGCGTAAATCATGTTTACACTTAAAGAACCTAGGATGGTGTCTGATATGTGGCAAGCACTCAACAAAGTATTGACTCATTATTATTAGCCAGATTCCCTTTTTATACTGATTAGATATTTGTGAAATATTTAACACAAAATCCAGCACATAGAGCTCATATTATTAAGTTCATTTCCAAAGACTGGACATGTACTTTCAAGCACACCATTTTTGGGGGGAAAAAAATCTAGCCATTGACATCATTTGACCATCCTGTGTAGCTTTTTACACAAGGGATTTTAAATATTTTTACTGGCATTATTAATAGAGAAACTCCTTCAAGAAGGTACTGCCAATCCTTATTAACATTTTTGAGTATATAACAACGAGTGTCTATTTCTTCTGCATTTATTAAGCACCTACTATGTGTCAGGCACCACATTGGGTGTTAGAGTTAGAAACACAAAGAAGAGCAAGACTCAGCACCTCACCCCTGAGGAGCACCCTTTCCAGAGAGGGAGGTAGACAGAAAAATACATATTTAGTGACAAATGCAATGAAGAAAAAGAAAGTTGATTTAAAAACTGAGGAATGACAAATGGTTCTATTTTTGTAAGACAATGTTTGTGTAGTTATATTTCATTCCATTCTTATATAATGTTAAAATATTTTGACTTCAGGTCATTATAATAATGAGAATAGCTTACTTTTTTCTGGGATGGAGCATTTGGTAGGCAGAATAACAGC